TTGTCTACTCTGTGATGGTCAGTATGAACCATCTTGTCCACTTGGCTTGGTCAGCGAGAACCATCTTGTCTGTTTGCCATGGTCAACGGAAGCTATCTTCTCCACTTAACTGTGGTCAGCGAGAGCCATCTATTCATTTACCATGGTTAACAAGAGCCATCTTGTCCACTTACCATAATCGATGAGAGCCATTTTGTGGCCATTTACTGTTATTAAGGAGACACATGTTGTTTGCTTGCCATGGTCAGTGAGAGACCTCTTGTCCACAGGGAGGACCCATCGGTGGTTTATCTCACCACTTGTTACTTTGAGTGTCTTAATTGACTTAGTTCAGGGACTTTTCTTCATTTCTAGTCCTACAGTGAAGTTTGAATACACATGTACACACAGTATATTCTACATCAGTATATCTCATTACAACCTGGATCCAGACTACCCCTAATTTAGTCTTTTCAGTTCTGCTCTTTTATTATCTATTTATTATCTTTTATTATCCTCTTCCACATTCCTGTCATTTGTTAAGTATTTTCTGAGCTTATGACATTACTTTCTAAATTTTCTGACTTCTCCAGAATCTTCTTGATGAACCTTGAATCTTACCATTATTCATGCTGGTATTTTCTTCAGGATTCCCTGTGTAGCATAGTTTTAAAGTTCACTGTTTTTGACCATATTAACTGTGGTGATCTAGACAGACTATAATGACTGTATGGATGGAGCTCCAGTCCATGATTTTGAGCTCATGTTTGTTTCCCAATGAGGACATCCTAATTCCAGATAATAAGCAAAGCAATGGAAAAGAGAGTTGGTTGTCTATCTTTTACCTGTCAGAAAATTCTTGGTTGATAGTATTGGCTATTCAGTTAAAAGCAGTTCATGTCTTCTGACAGCCGTTTAAGGAGAGAAGAGACTCACACTGTAACCCTGTTCACCACACTGAGGTGGGCCCTGGGGAGCCCATGGACGACCCGGCTTCCTCAGGAGCCCTCAGGGCACCGCCGTGACACGGCCGTGGAGCAAGGCTCTGTGGTAGTCTTAACCTGGAAAGGTTTTAAAAGAGTTGTCTGTGGTAGGATTTAAGAGATAAAAGTAAGTGAAAAACAATAACCAAAAACGAAGCACCTCATTAAAAGCACACTTAAAAATGTCTGATTTCAGGCAGCCATGGTCCTTGCCCCTCCCCCAGCTCTTGCTTAATTCTTCCCCAATATAAGCTGAGTTCTTTCCAGAAAATAGTCGGCTGGTCTGACCAGCATTTATATTTACTTTTTACAATTTAAGTTCAAATTAGTTAACATACATAGTAGTCTTGGCTTCAGGAGTAGAACTCAGTGATTCATCGCTTCCATGAAACACCCAGTGCTCATCCCAACACGTGCCTCCTTCCTGCCCACCCCCCATTCCGTGCGTCTCCACCCACCTCCCCACCAGCAACCCTCAGTCTGTTCTTTGTATTGAAGAGTCTCTTACGGTTTGCCTCCCTCTCTGTTTTCATCTTATTTTCCTTCCCTTCCCCTGTGTTCATCTGTTTTGTTTCTTAAACTCCACTCATGAATGAAGTCATATGATACTTATCTTTTTCTCTGACTTATTTTGCTTAGCACAGTACCCCCTAGTTCCATCCACGTTGTTGCAAATGGCAAGATTTCCTTCTTTTCCATTGCCGAGTACTACTCATTCACATCATCTTTATCCATTCATCCGTTGATGGACATTAGGCCTCTTTCCATACTTTGGCTATTGTCGATAGCGCTGTTATAAACATTGGGGTGCATTTTGAATCAGCATTTTTGTATCCTTTCTGACCAGCATTAAGAAAGTGAGGTCAGTTGCTATTTGAGGCTTGTTCTAGGATATGATGACCAAAATATCAGGAATGCTTTTGAGTCATGACTCATTCATTCATTCAGAGAGAGCATGAGCAGGGGAATAGCAGAGAGAGAAGAAAGAAAGAATCGTAAGCAGGCCCCCCACTGTCAACACAGACCCCAGTGTGGGGCTCCAGCTCTTGAACCATGAGATCATGACCTGAGCCAAAATCAGCAGTGAATTGTTTAACCAAGACTGAGCCACCCAGGTGCCCCACGGAGTCGTGGGCACCCGAGCTGAGTCTGAGCTGTCAGCACAGAGCCTGACCAGGGCTCGAACTCACCAACTGCGAAATCATGACCTGAGCTGAAGTTGGCGCTTAACTGACTGAACCACCCAGGCGCCCCCTGTTGTGATTCTTAACAGCAAACAGATATGCAGTTTGTGTCATTGCAGGTGATGACACCTCTCTGAAAGGAGATGGGGTCAGAACACCCTCGTTTTACTTCATTCAGGATTGCCCTCAGGTCTGTCCAGGGCTTGGCCTGGCAGGTCTCATGTTCGGGTGGTGTCGTGCATGAGCGTCAGTGCCCAGGGTGACCCCGAGCTTAGTGTTTCTGCAGCTGCAGCTGTGGTGGATGCACCTACCCCCCTGCCCCGCCTCTCTCTGACAGGAACCAGATCCTCTTGTTTCTGGGAGATTTCTCCCCAAGGTGATGGAGAGCAACAGTGATGATTCATGACCCTGGGCCTGGGACAAGATGTTGCTTGAAAGATCTAGGTTTGCAGCTTGCCTGACAATCTCTGTGTGTGGGAGGGCGTCTGTAGACGGTTCTGTGTGGGCAGGGGTGTCCGTAGAAGGTTCTGTGTATGTGTGGGCAGGGGTGTCCATAGAAAGTTCTGTGTGTGTGTGGGCAGGGGCACCCGTAGAAGGTTCTGTGTGTGTGGGGGCAGGGCATCCATAGATGGTTCTATGTGGGCAGGGGTGTCCGTAGACAGTTCTTTGTGGGCAGGGTGTTGGTAGAAGGTTCTGTGTGGGCAGGGGTGTCTGTAGAAGGTTCTGTGTGGGTATGGGTGTCCGTAGAAGGTTCTGTGTGTGTGTGTGGCCAGGGGCGCCTGTAGAAGGTTCTGTGTGTGTGGGGGCAGGGCATCCGTAGATGGTTCTGTGTGGGCAGGGGTGTCCGTAGACAGTTCTTTGTGGGCAGGGTGTTGGTAGAAGGTTCTGTGTGGGCAGGGGTGTCCGTAGAAGGTTCTGTGTGTGTGTGTGGCCAGGGGCGCCTGTAGAAGGTTCTGTGTGTGTGTGGGCAGGGAGTGCCCGTAGAAGGTTCTATGTGTTTGTGGGCAGGGGCGCCCGTAGAAGGTTCTCTGTGGGCAGGGGTGCCCGGAAGTTTCTCTGTGTGGGCAGTGGGTGCCCGTAGAAGGTTCTCTGTGTGGGCAGGGGTACCCGTAGAAGGTTCTGTGTGTGGGAGGGTGTGTGTAGAAGATTGCCCCTTAAGACCTGGAAGAGCCAGTGGTCTGGGCTCCCTGGGGGCCGTGCCCACCGTGTCAGAGAACACTGAAGCGCACAGGTGAGGACTGGCTGTGTGGGGGGGTTCTGGGGAAGAAAGCCCTCTGGTGGCTTATGTCACATGCATATTACTAGATTCTGCCTGAGGAGGGGTCCTCTGCGTAGGGGGTGTGCAGTGCACAGTGTTGCTTTCCTTCCAGCACAAAGCAGAGAGCCATGTGGCCGGGTCAGCACCGCGGTGTTGGTTAGGGCTCTGGGCATCCACGCCGTTGCTCCCACTAGGGAGGCCGTGGACGCCTTAGCTCAGAATCAGCCCTCGTTCCCGGCCTTGAAGGCCAAGCCCAGATCCTCTCTTACGTTGTACTGGGACTTATGAAGGTGATGGAAAATGCTAGCTGTGTCTGGTGGCTGCTTTCCGATGGGTGTCCCCGGCCCGCCCCCACCAGGGCCTGCTCAAAGCCCCCGCCCCTGGCAGTTCCGTCCAGCCCAGTGACTGCAGGCTGTGTTGCGGGTGGTGGGCGGCCTGCGGACAGGTCTCGAGGGTGACGTTTGTCTCTGCAGACGCTCGGGTGGAGATGGTGTACGTCCCCAGGTAGGGGGACAGGTCACTGGTGGCCTCTCACGCGCCTGCTCCTTTTCCTGCCCTCTCTGATCTCACCTGTCCCACCCTGAGTCTAAGTGGTGCTGGGGTGGCTGTTGGGTTGACAAGAAGGCCAGTCTTTCTGCTCAGCACGAGGACAGCCGGTGTCAGGAAAGGGGTCACGTCAGGTGACCTGTAACCCGGGTCACCAGGGACAGGCAGGTGTGCTTCCCCGTCCTGGTCCATGTGGTGAGGGACTTATGTTCAGACAGGGCTCCCCGGTGGGGGGTCCTGCAGTTCTTCAGGGGGTTCAGGAGGAGTGGGGTTAGCGCTGATGTTTGGTGTCGCCGGACGGTCTTGAAGTAGGGCTTTCTGGCTCCAGGAAGGATTACTTTATTTTCCTTTTGTATAGTTTTCTCAAATGATATTTTCTGTAAAAATGTTGTCAGGATATCCTGACTTGTTTCATTGTCCTAAATATTACCCTGTGTCCTGAAAGAACACAATTTTGTCTTTCATCAACATCTGATAAGAGATTTAAGAGAGCTCCCCCTTCCTCCCCTTCCCATACAGGCTTCTGTCCGGCCGCTTAGCGGCATCTGAGAGTGATGGAGGGGGGCGGGCAGCCGGCTGTCGTTTCTCCGTAATCCCCACGGGCGCCCTTTCTCCCCAGCCTCTCTCCCCAGCCTCACCCCTCCAGGAAGCTTCAAGTATTAAAAGATTCCCCCATCCCAGTGATTATTAAGGCGAAGTAGCTAAAGGTCCAGTGTTAATTTGACCTTAGATTATTCTAGCAAGTCAGTTTGGGGGTATAGATTGTTTTAGCCTCCTGGTCCTTGCAAAGCTCTTTCGTTGTCAAGGGAGCACGTGGAGTAGAATTGTTTTATGTTTTCACTTGGTGTAATAAGGGAAAGTGCAGAAAGGAGGACCTTCCGACACGGGGGCAGAAGGCCCGTACGCTTCTGGATAGCACGGACCCCGCTTTGGTTCTCACTTCCTCGTGTCAGTTGAAGGGTGTCCCTCACAGAAGCGACGGGCTGGCCACTGGAATGGTGTGGGCGGGTGATTGCATCAAAGGAAACCCCTCTGCCTTGTGTCTTTTAGAATGTCGTTCTCTCGGGAGGCTCCACAATGTTCAGGGACTTCGGACGTCGACTGCAGAGAGATTTAAAACGAGTCGTGGACGCCAGACTGAGGCTCAGTGAAGAGCTCAGCGGTGGCCGAATCAAGGTAGGAGGCGTCCGCGCCCGAGCAGCCTGGCCGCGCTCCCTCCCCCAGAGCCCGTGCACCCCCCCTCCCCCCGCCTGGGGAGCCTGAAGCAGGACCGGGTTCCAGTCCCTTTCCCGGCCGGCCGCGCTCGAGGGCCGCTCTGCCTGAACTCACTCCAATAGTGTCGGTAAGGCTGGTGTCCGTTCTGGGGTGCCGTCAGCCACCTGGTGCCCCGCTGACCCACCCCTGCCAGCACTGTCTTCATCTTGTGATGACCAGGATCCAGGGGGACGGGATCAGTGTAGGGGGGTGGGAGGGAGTCTGTTATGCCCTTCCGGAGTGTTCTCATTACACTGCAGTGCATTCCATTAGCGGGGGTTTCAGCGTGTCCTCCTTAGGTGACATTGTTACGGAGCTGCTGAGTTTCCTCGGGCTCCCCGGCAGGACTGGGCCCCGGTGGGGACGGGAGCAAACGCACGCCCTCTAGGCTGCCGGAATCGCTCTCTCGGCAGATTTCTCACAGTTTTTGGGGACACTTGGGATTAGGTCTGTGATACTAAAACATCTCGTTTGTTTGGTAAAAAAAAAAAAAAATCAGTTGGGTTAGTTGCTCGGATTTTTTTACTGTTTAAAATGCCTTTAGTTTTATGAAAGTGGCCGCTCCTTGATGTGGGTACTTTGTTCTCTGCGCCGGCCCTGGGGGCAGGGGAGGGGGCTGGGGGGTTTTGGCCGAGAGCCTTCCTTCCCCAGGCCTGTGTGGCTGGTGCCGCCACAGAGGGACTGGAACGTCAGGGATGGGCCTGGAGCCTCAGCTGCGAGGAGGCCCCGCGTTGGTGGCACTCAGCGCCGAGTGTCCTCTTGACCGCGGAGAGGTTACTAGGCGACCAGTCATCTGCCCGGCTCGTCACCGTCCCTCGTTCTCCTTTGCAGCCTAAGCCGGTGGAGGTTCAGGTGATAACGCATCATATGCAGCGCTATGCGGTGTGGTTTGGAGGCTCCATGCTGGCCTCAACTGTAAGTCCTTTTCTAGATTGTTCTCTGTTTTCATTTCTGCGTTCCTTGTCGAGTTGGAATAGACGCTGTCCTGTGAAGGTTAAATAGTGTGCGGCTCTCAGCAGTCGCACTTTAAATCTGTGAGATATAAAAACCGCCTTAATGGTAATTCAGTCAGCGGCACTGCCCATCCTTCCTAGTTAGGGAGGGCAGAGGGTATGGCCAAGCGACACCGAAAGTGACCTGGTGCATCCTGCCTTAATCGAGGATTCCAAAGGCTCGTCCGAGCAGTCATTACGCTCCGCACGTGGTACGAGCCAGTGAGCCGCTGGTGCAGGGCGAGCCCGTGCTGGCTCCGGGTGGAGGGTGAGCAGCTCAGGGCCCGCGGTGGCCCGGTCCCTGGGTCCCTAGGTCCCTAGCCGGGCGTCAGGGCGAGCCCTCTCCTCCAGGGTGCCCTTTGCGTAGGGCTCGTGAGCCCCGCCTCCTCTCGGAAGGTGTCCGAGCCGCCCTAACCGCCGCCTCCCGCAGCCCGAGTTCTTTCAGGTGTGTCACACCAAGAAGGACTACGAGGAGTACGGCCCCAGCATCTGCCGCCACAACCCGGTCTTCGGAGTCATGTCCTAGCGCGCCGGCCCGCGGGGGGGCGCGCCTGCGCCGCCGAGTGCATGAGGCGGCCCCGCGCGCGCCCCCGCCCGCGCCCCCGCGCGCGCCCCCGCCCGCGCCGCCGCCGCGCTTCCGGCCCGCGGAGCCGCCTGAGGGGGTGCGCCTGCCGCCTGAACGCCTGCTCCCCGAAACCCCCAGAAGATGGCGCAGAACCGACCCCCAGGAAAGAACGTGGGCGCCGCACACCCTTTTCCTCCCGGCCTATTTTTGTAAATAAAATGTTATAAACTTGAAGTACAAATTGATGTTTATATTTCCTATCATTTTGTATTCCCGGCACTCGGTGCGGTGGCCGGGCCCGAGCACGACCAGCCGTGTCCTGGCTGCTGTGAGCACGTGTCTGCTTGTGAGGCGCGTCCGGTGTGTCCGTGGGCAAACGGTGGAGCGGCAGGCGCTTCTGCCACGTGTTCGCTCGAAAACGACTACACTTTATTGGAGTGACTGGAAGTTTCAACGCTAAATACTGTTGTACGAGACTCGTTACGGATAATGTATCTCTTCACTTTCCTGTTTGAACTTTCTGGAACTGTTTTCTGGAAGTCGCCGGTTTGCCGTTGGTGAGTGGTGACGAAGCGCTGCCGTGCGCCGTTGTAATAAAAGCGCTTCGACTCTTTATACGATTTCCTGTCGTGCTGTGGGGTCTTTCCGGTTTCCGCTGGGCCCGCGGGGGGTCTCCTTCCCGTCACTGCAGGGTCTGGGGGTTGGTACCGAGTTCCCAGGTGACGCGGCCCGCCTGCAGGCAGTGCCGGGGGCGCCCACGCGGGGGGCTTCGGGGGCGGGGCGGGGACCCCGGAAGTGCCGTGGGCGCCCACGCGAGGGGCTTCGGGGGCGGGGCGGGGACCCCGGAAGTGCCGTGGGCGCCCACGCGAGGGCATCAGGGTGGAGCGGGGACCCCGGAAGTGCCGTGGGCGCCCACGCGAGGGCATCAGGGAGGAGCGGGGACACCGGAAGTGCCGTGGGCGCCCAC